CAGCTACGTTCGTCGCCGCCGCTTGCATGCTTTTATCCACGGGTAAAACACACAAAGCACGAAGGAATATTATTCATTTAGACTTTATACAGGACATGACAGCGACGGCGAAAACCTATTGATATTGTACAAGTTATCGTTATCGATAAGGACTTCTGCCAAGCCCCTGCATGTGTTTGTCATGCTTGTCGAAAAGCTTAAATGAACAAGGTCTTCAACAAGCGTAAATTTCAATGCAACCCATCTTGTGGAAGCAAAGGGTGAGACAGCTGCGCATTTTGCGCATTTTTGCTACATTTCCATTTTCTTGCGCCAAGCTGCTCCAAAAGCATAAAAATCGTGAAAATTGCGCTGAACTGCTCCAAAACAGCCTTGAAAGCTAGAATTTTGATGCGAACCTCAGCTTCAGTGGGGAAGAAAGGCCGAGTGTGACTAACAAGATGCACCCAATCATGTTTTTTTTTTTTTACATCTTTCTAGTGACTAAGGCTCCCATGGTGCCGCCATAATCTCCTTTAAGCTGTTGCAAATATGTGTGAACTCGCAAAAATGTGCTGCCGTGCCTTGAGCGTGCTGCTTCTACTAGCTAGGCTGTGTTCTGGCGCCACTGTCGGCTAGCAAAAACCACAGAGTCGAGTGAGGAGCGTAGGGGGATTGACTCTCCGGTTCTTTGTTGTGCGTAGCGCGTTCCTCTGGTCACTGCGGTTTTCATGTGAATGCTACTGCGCGCAGTCACCTACGCGTGCACGTTTGCAGTGAGCGAGGAACAGTAAATGTGAAGTCATTTCCTTGCATGAGACGAGTCTTCCAAATGCTCCGGCGCATGCACATGGGTTCTCAAATTGCTGTGAGCGGCAAAACGTGTGCAGCCTATTCCCAGTTTACGCCCATTAGCTACAAATTTATTTAGACAAGCCAGTTGTCATTGCATTTTGCATATGAAAAAGTCATCGCACATGAAATCTGCACATCGGTGTCTGCAGGTTGAGAAACAATTTATTTATTTTCATACTCTCAGCGCTCAAAGGCAATACAGAGAGGAGTGGTTGAACAATATGTTAATAATTGAAGCTTTGAAGGCGGCAGGTTCTTTGATCGCAGCGATGGAGGCAGGAAGGTGGTTCCAGTCACTGCTTGTTTATGGCAGATATGAAGCATAACAAGTGTTAGTGCGGCATAAGGAACTTTGACTTTAAGGTTTAAGGTTGCTTTAAGGTTTGACTTGGTTACATGTGAAGCCGTGGTGACGGAACGCGCATTCAAACCATTTTAAACTATAATAACGGGCACCTGGGTGCTTTATTCGTGACTCATGACGCGTCTGTGATCACGTGGCACAGTTTTCATGAATGGTGATTCTCCACTGTTCAGTTTTGTAATCGAAACTCACAACGAGCGTTCGCTGCATGCATGCCGGCCCTGGGCTACACGAGCTTTTTAGGCTTAGCTTGATCGGTGTTTCGGTCGGCAGCAGTGTGACTTCGTTTTCTTTTTTTTATCCTTTTTTTTTGCAAACAAAACGTGCACAGGCCTCATCTTGGATGCTGTAGTTTTATCGAATCAGTGTCTCGGCTGCCAGGTAGGACCGAAGCCTGAAGACAAGGGCTATGCAAGCTGGTAGAAGCACCATGTGTGCCAAAAAAACACTGATGCCAAGTCTGGGAGGATGGAGGTAAGCAGCTGTAACTGTTCTCACGTTCACTGTCCAAGCATAACCTCCGGTATACAACCATTGTATCTGATGGGGACAGCGCCACATTCTCTGCCCTTCAACAAGACAATGTTTATGGGCTAGTCCCTATTGTGAAAGAAGAATGCTTGAACCATGTCCGGAAGAGGATGGGCACAGCCCTACGTAATCTTGTGCAGAAAAGCGAACAGGCTCTGGGAGGGAAGGGCAGATTGACAAAAGCCCTTATTGATAAACTCACAGACTATTATAGCTGGGCACTGCGGAACAATTCAAACAATGTGGCTGCAATGCAGCGTGCAGTGATGGCGTCATCACGTCACCTCAACTGACGAGGATCCTCACCATGACTTGTGCCCGGAAGGTGCAGACTCGTGGTGCCGTCATAATGCCTGCAAGGGGAATGGCGTGCCACCTCCAAAGCACAAATACAATCTTCCGGGCTACGTTGCAGAAGCGCTGCTGCCAGTCTACCTGGCTTCTCTACTGCAACGCTGCCTGGGAGCAAAGACGCAAAATGCATCGGAGTCATTCCATTCTGTCCTATGGTCCTTGATGCCCAAGGAGCAACATGCATCATTGATTGCTGTCGAGACAGCACTGCATGACGCAGTTTTGCGGTATAATGCCGGCTGCTACAGGGCCACCCAAGAGTTGTCGTCGTCATCAGTGGGACTCACACCTGGCCACCTAACCATTCAACGAGCTGCAGAGAAAGACTCTCTGCGCCTGAGAAAGGCTCAGAAACGGATGAATGAGAAGCAGGAAAAGCGGCAAAGAAAAAGAGAGCCTAAGGACACATCAAGCTACTCTGCAGGGTCATTTTAGACCATAATAAATGTTTGAAACTTTCGAAGTCAATTTTCTCAGAATGACTTTTTTGGCCAGTGAGGCTGCTTAGTCAGGTGATCTCTCTGGAACTGCTGGTCTGATTTCTATCGGTTTTTTTTATTATGCACCTTAATAAATTGTCCAGGGCAAGACAAGCCCGCTTTTTCAATTTATTGTGTCTATAATTTGTAATAATTAACTAAAACTTCATTGATGAGAGCAAAATTGTGAACACTAAATTCAGTGCTCTGCTAACATTTTTTGGCAAGGAAATTTAAAAAAAAGGGCTCTGTCTTGCCCTAAAGCACCTATCCAGGAATCATCATAGTGAATTTCACAGTGCTAGCACATTTTTCAAATTCTCCAGACCCTGACTAAGGGACCCATGTGGACTACCCTGATAAATGGCTGTAACTTGGGAACCAGTGAACATAACTGCATGAAACTTTGTGGTTATTCAAATGGCTTTGCTATTAGTGTACCCTGAAAATTTCATTAAGATATCTCAACAAACAAAAAAGTTGCCCTTCGAAGGTAGCCTCCCCCCTTAAAGGAAACTATTGAAGTGTCCTGGATACACAGCGACTGAAATAGTGACAGAACGAACTCTATCGATTTTCCGCGGTATGTATGTGCATATCTCCACCATGATATGATACTGAGTGACAACTCACAGCCATTGAAACACAGAGCGGTCGCGTGCACTCGGGTCATCTTTTGATTAGTATAGTGCGGCGCCTATGCTGCCTACACAGTCGCTGCCGGGCGGTTCTCTGTATCGTGCACGCAGATTTGTTGTGCGAATTGCTGGTCCGAACTTCGCTTCAGACCAAGCACAGATGAACAGAGTAGTGTGTTTAATCATGATAACAAAATTCAAAGTGAAGTGTGCCGCGATTCTGTATACTCCTCTTCACACATCAGGCACAACGCTGCGGAGGCGATTGCGAGACTCCTTGTAATAGATACGTCCATGTGAAGGAATAGTTCTGTGTTTTTACCACCCAGAATATGTTTTTTTTTTCGTTACAGGCTGAGTATGAAATGGGCATATATTGTATCTCTCATGCACACACACACACGCACACAGATGGTAAGTTTGGTAAGCTCATCAGTACTGAATGCTTAGTGAAAACCACTGGAATAATTTTACCAGCAATAATTTTGATTGATGTTTTATTTGAAAAGTTCTACAAAACTAACTTGCGTTGCTCCAAAACACGCCTTTCGGTGCTTTGAACATGCTCCAAAACTCTTCTTTTGCTGCACCAAAACTGCTCCAAAACAGCTTTACTCCTGCTGCCTGAGCTGTTCCAAAACACTGCAGTTCATTTCCATCCCTATAAATTTATTTTCTGAGAAATGTTTTACGACTTTAAATTGCTGAAAATAAAAAGTTCAGACAAGTTCAACTTGTCTACTTTATCCTCAGGTCTGAAGAGCTTCGGGCGTGCATCATTCCTAATCTCTAAACAAAGTAATGGACCTCTGAGGTAACCTAAACTTTAAAGTAGCCTTTGTCACCAAAATACAAAATATATATGAAATCGGTGACTTTAAACATAGAGATTTGGGCATGAAATTTAAATATTGCTTAGAGCAAACTTGAAAAGCACAAACAGGGAAGGTGAAACGCATATAACGGGTCTTGCGCTTCTTGCAAATGGTGTTTATTTGAAACGAGAAATCAAGCTCATACATATGCATATATCCCACAAGAGATTGTGGGATGATATGTGAATATGTACGAGCTTGATGGCGCAGGCATGTTATGTTTTTCCCTTGACATAAACATCATTTGTAAATAAAACATGGGTCCTGCTGTACATGTTTCATCTTTGTTGCTTGCACTTTTCAAGTTTCCTCTAATGATGGATCAACTCGCCCTAACCAAGGTAGTGTCAAAACCAAGTTTTGTACTTTATTTTCACATAAATATTAATAATAAATCATTAATAATTATGGTCTGTTAACAGTACTCTACTAATAATATAATAAATCCACAACGGTTAAATTAAACAAATGCATGCCTACCGAACTATGTAGCACCTTGAAACCTGCATCAACATGAGAGGAGCGCACATTGACTTTTTTGATGATGGCCAATGGGGAAGCCACATGTTCTAGTTGGGTGGGGCTGGCTGACATGACAAATTTGTATACTGACTAGAAATGCACTTTCAGTAGCAGCAGCTGGCCATTGCTGTAGAAATAATTTTAAAAGTGGACTGATTATTTACTGCCTGGTCCGAGCACTTCCACACTTCAAAAGCACATTTTATAAATGTTTTGAAAGTGTGTGGTGTTTGAGTATCTGGAATAGTAAAAGTATTCTTCAAATTGAGGTGAATAGTACCAAACTTTCTGAATCGACTATTCCCAAACCCCTAGTTCTTGCATAATAATTATGCATTGTGGCATGTTATCCTGGTGGTCAGTGTCGCTCCTGAAAAATATTTGTGGACGTGTGTGCTTTCAGTATGCTGACCCTGTGGCTGACCTGCTGGACAAGTGGGGTGTCTTCCGGGCACGGTTATTCCGAGAGTCTTGTGTCTTCTACCGAGGAAACTATGTCAAGGTGCGTTATCTGCTGCCAGCCATGTGGTGTGCATTTGTGAATGAGTTAAATGCTTTTTTGCTGAAGCATTTCTTGTCTGGCGGTATGACTCGTAAAGCTGCATATACTGGTTCAGTTTTACTTACAAATAACTGATGTTTCACATTACCAGATGATAGAAGTGACAAGTTGAAATCAACTTGATCTTCTGATGCACTTGCCTTTCATTGATAGATAGCAAGGCAGACTAGTAAAGTATGCTGTAATTTGGCATATGCACTCATTCTCTTGGTAAATGCATGTCACTGGTTACTACACATTGCTTGTCTAATTACTATCATTAAAACTGCACTAGATAACCTCCTTTGTTGTAAGTGAATGCCCATACCTGAATCTGCTTTTGAAAAGTTCTCGATTAGAGTGAGGATTTTCTGTAAAGCCTGTAATACTACACTTGGCAGCAGGGTAGAATAGTGCTAGGCGTTGAATTATGCAATGAGTGGTGCATTTGAATGGCCCTCAAATCGCAATAAAGTACACAACACATACCATATTTTTCCGCATAATGGGTGCACTTTTTTTCCAAAAAAGTCTTGCACCAATTTCGAGGTGCGCCTGTTACGTGAGGTAAAATTTTCAAAATTTTCAGTGCCAACTACAGCATAGACCACTGATAATGTAATTCGTTCAAGTTGTGAATATCCGCACTACAGCCGCACAACCTTTTTTAAAGGCTATTTTATGGCCGGGTTTCAGTTTTGCTTCTTCAAAAACTAAATTAACTAAACGAACAGTTTTACAGTATTCGCATATCCCTTTCCGTCCCAGTGACCAGTATACTGGACATACCAAAAAAGGCGTTGAAGAAAACATGCAGAGCCACAATCGGAGCCGAAACTACTTTTCTAGCTTCTCTAAGAGGCGAGCAATATAATTGTGAATGTTTTTTTCTTCGTCAACACCACTTCCTTATAGAACATGAGCATCATCCACGAGGAAAAGCGTGCGCAAGGTGTGATTATATTCAAAATCACTTTTGGAGCTTTCTTCTTGCAATTCAAATGATTGAAATCATGCGAGTTGACTAATGTGCTCTTGAAACAATTAGGCAAAAAGGTTGCTTTTGTAACCAGTAGTTTGCTTGCAATGTGAGAGTTTTTATGGCCAGTACACGGGACACCAGGATTCAACTGTATCGGACCATTCCAAACATGCAGAAAAAAAATAATAAAACTTGCAGTTGGCTTTAGGCGACAAACTTGAAGCCCAACCATTAAAAAAAAATTGAAACGGAAGCATCCTGGCAATTCTGCCTAGAGCATGGTGCACGAAGACAAAGCACCATCTTGGGAAGTTGGCTTGTGGATGCTTTGCGTGCTCCCTTCTAGGTTTTTCCCTGTCATGGCGCTATGTGCTACTGTTAACCATGAAATTTTTATTTTTTTTCCTGGATTGAAACAAAAGAGTTTTTGCTTTTGTGAGACGATCAACTTTCTGGCAGCATCAAAACCAACTCTTTTAACAAAGTTAGTAGAACGTGTTCACTCATCAGTGCAAGAAATGAATCCTAGTGCCCACTAAACTGGACATGGTTCGACCAGGAATACCATTGTACTTACAGTCTCCAAAATTTTTTGCATGCTTCTTCTAAGCCCTCTTAGCTGTCAAAAACTTTTTTTCCCACCTTACAAAAAAATACGAGACAGAAAGGGATATGCATCAACATAGTTGGGTTGGTGCATGCGATGTTACATGGCCTTTAAGTCGCGACAACAAAAACTAGAAAGCATCGGCTGAACAGCCCAAAATGGTGTCGCCCATATTTCTCACGAGAAATAGTCTGTAGGCTACACTAGTGCAAAACGTGTTGAGCATGCAGCCTCGCATGCTCGAGAATCAAGGCATGCTATACGGTGTGCTTACAAGCATTCTAATTTCCAAAAATTACTATCAAAATACCCGTGTTTCCATCAAAATGAACGCGGGGGGGAAAAAAAACGTGGAAATTCGCTGATTATGTGTCAGGCCATCTAGATTTCGCGCATTATCACTACCAAAATAAAAACTCATTTCTCTCGACCAAGGTAGGGCACCTATTATGCGAGTGGTAATTAACCAACAGATTGTGCAGCTGATTCATTGAGCATCTTGGCTTACATTAGTGGGTACTTAACAACTATACTTGCCATAGGCATTCTGTGATAGAAACGGCCAATTTTATCTGCACAGACATTCTTTTGCTTGTGAGACATGAAATTTCCATCGAGAACGGAAGACTGCCACAGCCAGAGTCATGTGCTGCCCTGCTCATTGATTATTCAGCTCGAGTAGCAGGTTTTTAGGAAGTGAAATGCGCGGCAGGCCAATCGGCGCCTGCACGTTTGGATCCCGCAAGTTCATTGTTTAATACTTTTGTGTGTGTGAAACTTGCAATGTTCCTTCAATGAATCATCTCTAACAGTTCGTTTTACCCAGGCCTCATCATCGTTTGCTTTCTTTATACCCTTTCCTGTTTCTCAATTCATTCCCCCTTTATCACTGCCCTTCTTTACATTGGCGAATCGCCACTTCTTGATGCCTTCTTGGTAATATTACGGGCTCCGCTGTGCCAAATGGACCAGCACGTCCTTGGTAGGAGCTTGCAGTGCCCCTTTTTGACAGGGATGAAGTTTTCGTTAGCGTTTGGTGACCTTGTTAATGAATGCTCGGACTTGACATAATGGACAAGGATAGCATAGCAAGGATAACGTTCAAGGATAGTGGTCACTGCAGAAAGAGGATAACCTACACCTAAAAGACACGTAATGTGTACGATGAAGCTATCACTCATATCATGTGCGCACAACTTGGCGAGGGCAGGGCTTGAAGCAATACATCGTTTTTCACAACCTTCGAATGCTTCAAAGAGAAGTTTATTAGCAGTTTTAAAGATCTAGGAGCATACTACCAGCATACGTAAAATACAAGTAGTTAAAAATGTCAGGGTCGTTTGGTACCTAAAAAATAAATATTCGCAAGTAAAAGTTTCTATTGGCACATTTAGTTTACCGTAATACAACCCTAGTTCACTTTTCTACATAGTCACATTGAACTTTACTTTTCGAACCACTGCTACAGTTTCTTTTGTCAGTGCTTCTACATGAAAGATCACCGCCTGGCATTTTTTAGCTGTCTGTGTTGGTTGGTAGGGATTTTTGAGTACCCTGCTTGCACATAGCTTGCAAATTTCAAGCTTTTCAATTATAATCGTCTAAAAAATAACTCTATTTAACAGACTACAAACTGTCACACGGCGATGTAATCGCAATTCTCTGTTCATTTGCTGAAGTTTTATTTGTTGAAGTTTCATTGGTCTTGGTGCTGAGTCTGTCACTTCGCTCTTCGTCATGCAAATCATGCAGACGTTTGTGGAGCTTCGGCTTACCTTTCTTTCACTTGCTTACCTTTCTTTCACCTGCTTACCTTTCATTCACTTATCCTTGTAAATCCATCAACTAAACACACTCCCCCCCCCCCCCCCCCCCTCGTAAATCGAACTACAACTTGTGCTTCCCAACTGGCACGAGAAATAATTCTCGCGGACAGTTTCATCACTTTTGCCCATCAAGCACACGACTACTGAGCTAGAACAATTACTTCAGTACCTTGCTAAAAAATGAACCGATGGCTCTTTACAAATGCATTTTTGTTCCGCCTCAGATATATTATTGAGATAGCATTTATATGGGCACTCTATGCTGCTTTTTGCCATCACAGTCATGCCCCGTTCAAGGTACAGTCGAACTCCGCTACAACGAACGCCGTTTTCACGAAATTTTCGCTACATATAAAAATTCACGATTCCTCGTCAGCAGTCCATAGGAGTCAATGCATAAATATTGTCGCCACAACAAACACTGTTTCTTCGATCGTCCTGCTTTAACGAAATTTACCATGTAATTTCAGGTGCGGATACTTATTTTATGCAGTAAACCCAATCTTTAACATTTCGCAAAATGCATTTTCAGAGCCTGAAAATGCGTCAATGAAGTCTAGAACACGCGTTGGCCCCACCAGAAACGGCCGCTATACCGCTACTGTTCAGCAAGCATAGGCGCCGCCATTGCTCGATAGCGATGGTAATGAGACTGCCCTGCCTTTACCACTGGTGCTTTTGAGCCGCAGACCATCTGAAGCTGAAGCTCAGTCGCTTAGTTCAAGATTTCCTTCACGTAGCTGCTGGGTGCCACCGTGAAAGAATGCCTTTTTCGATTCCGATGCTTATCATTATGTTCGCGCTTGGCCAGTGTGGTAACTAATAAGAGCGGCTGTTCATCTGCATTATCAACAAAATCAACTAGCCGCAAGTGATGGATGATCAGAATGACATGGAATAATGCAAAAGTCGCTGCTTTTGACGGCGGACAGCTGCTGGTGCTAATGTGTTAATGCAACTGTTTGGTTCGTTCACGAAGGCGGTTTTTGGCGTTGTTTCTGCGTGCTTTTCACCATGGCCTCACTATGCATGGGTGAGAATCGTGTCGTGACGCTGCTGCGAAAGAATAGGAAGTATCGTACATTTTTTGAATCTTGAGAATAAACGTCTCTTTGTTTTGCTAGCTCTGATCAGCTATATTTTTTCGATTTCACTGCAACGAAATTTTCACTTCAACGAAATTTTTCCCGCACCCCGTCAGTTTTGTTGTAGCGGGGTTCGACTGTATATGTAAACTGGTTGCGTAATTTCCATAGCAGACCATAGATGCAGTAGTTGGTGGCTCGTTGTCACCATCACCATCTCCGTTTGAAGGGGACAACTGCCAATAAAAATAAAAAATGAAATATGTCGCAACCTGAAACGGTAGCAACATTGTGCATTGGCCCTGCATAGCAGAAAATTGAAATTATTCTTTATCGTTGACCTTTTACGTGCATTATAAATATGCAATTTTATAAGTGCGTTATGGCTCGCTAATTGCATGCACAAAAGAAAGACCAACAAGAGAGATTAAGAAGCCAAGTTGTCTTATTAGCCGAATGGT